TTTTTTTTTTTTTTTTTTCCTGTTAAAGTCTGCTTCATTTCGGGGAAAGGTGTGTTCAGACAGTCTTGCTAAGTAGTCCCTTGCTGGCCTGGAACTCACTATGTTAGACCAGGCTAGCCTTGAACCTGCAGCAATCCTCCTGCTTCCATCTCCAAGTGCTGTGATTATAGGCATGAGCCAACACACTTGGTTTGTGCTGTGCTGGGGATCAGACTCAGGGCTTTGTACATGCCAGGAGAGTGTTCTATCAACAGAGCTTCATTCCAGACCAAAACTTCCAACTTTTAAGAAATGGTGGTAATAGACAAGGAGGGGGTATTCCTTTTTTAATATCTCTATGAGAAACAGGAGATTTCAATCCCAAATTGTAAAGGAGAATGATCGATGAAATTCAACAATTTGAGACCTCAGATCCACGTGAATTCACTTTCCCTAGGGCCAGAGTAAGGGCCATGAATTTGGCTTCTCTTTCTACTCTCTCTTTGAGGAAGGCTTCTTTTCTACCCGCCAAGTATCCTGTGGTCCTGGAATCATGAGCAGGAGACACAGAACAAGGAATCTCCTTCCCTTACCTCTTCCCCCTCTACAGAGGGGGTCAGAAGCTCAGGAAGAAAACTGGCATACCCGTGGAGGGAGAGAGCTGCCATGTAAACCTGACTCCTGAACTAACTCATCCATCTGACAAGCAGGGATGAGGCCCCTGAAGTGTGGCACTCCAGCACGGGGCACTGGGGACAAAGGACCCATAAAATAGACAGGTGGCATTCCCAGATTCTCTGGGAGAGGGAAGGTGTAGGAAGGAGAGGACAGGAAGGGTCGGTCTCCTAGAGCATCTCCAGGTGTCCTGCTGTGGATGCTCACAGATTGGAAGCTTTCGAAGCAGTCTTTTTACTCTATTCCCCACTTTGTCAGAAATCGTTCTTTTCCTAGCCTGCTGAGCCAAGCTAGGCGGTCTAGAACAAAAGGACATCAAAAGGTCCACTGAGAGTTCTTACTGGGCAGGGTCCACGGTTTCCCTCTGTGGAGCAGAGATGCTCTGTGAAGTTCTGTCCACAGATCCTCTGACATTAGTGCTTCAGCCCTATAGAGCACCTCCTCACTCAGCCCCTGGGTTGATCCTGGGGTGAGCCAATACATTTGATTTCTGCTTAAGCCGGTTCCTCTTATGCTTTTGTTGTTTCCAATCTCAATAGTCCTAAATAATGCATTCCTCCAAGAGAGATAGCAGGAGCTTATGTATTGATCTGGTTATTTGTTGAGACCAGGTCTCCTGTAACCCAGGCTGGCCTGGAACTCACAGTGTAATAGAGAACAACTTCAAACTTCTGGTCTTCGTGCCTCTGCCTTCCAAGTGCTGGGATTGTGGGCATTCACTGACCAGCTTCAATGGGCTTTGCTTGTTTGCTTTAATAGAAGAATGTCGGAACACATGAGCTATTCCGACACATTAGAATTAAAAGACCAGAATTTGAGGCCAAACTCAGAAAGACAAACACCACATTTTCAGGGGAGGGGATGTGTGAGAGGAGGATTGAGACAAGTAGACCAGGTTGGTCTTGAACTCACTCTGATCCTCCTGCCTCAGCCTCACAAATGCTAGGATTACAGGTGTGCACCCCTCCCCAGGCTTTTTGATGGTGGTGATGGTATTGTTTTGAGGCAGCCCTGGCAGGCCTCCAACTGTAGCAATTCTCCTGCCTCGGCTCCTCAAGTTCTGATGCTACTCTTAAGAGTCTTATTTTCTTCATTTGTAAAGTAGAGAAAAACACACTTCCTCCTCACAGATGCTGGGAGGATTAAAAGAGATAATGGATAGAAAAGAGCTTTGTAAGTGGAAAAGGGGCTATAAATATAAGTGATTATCATTAAATTTTAATAATAAATGACGTCTCCAAAGAAGAGATACAGCAGGAGCCTTGGAGATGCACTTGCTGAGCTGTGAGGAGCGGAGACAGGATGTGTCCCCATTTTAAAGGCGAGCTTAGAGTAGTTGCAGAAAGAAAATGTGAGCTCCGTTCACAGGAAGAGCATCTTGTTGAGACCAGTAAGGGGCCAGACACGGAGTGAGAGGTCCTAATGGAAGCCAGAAAGTCGGACACGGTGGTGCATACTTGTAATCCCAGTGCTCCAGAGACTGAGGTAGGAGGATGACAAGTTCAGGAGCAGCATGACAAAAGCCTCACTATTTATAAGGCTGGGGGTGTAGCTCAATGGCGTGTTCTCCTGGTGTTCGTGAGACCCCGGGTTCCACCTCCAGTAGAGAAGGGAGAGGTGCATACTGTGTGGGGGGTACATGTGTTTAATCCTAGCACTTGGGAGATGAAGGCAAAGGATCAAGAGGTCAAGTTTATCCTGAACTACATAGCAAGCCACAAGCTGGACTATGTGAGACATTAAAAAGATTGAAATAAATGTAAAAAAAAAAAAAAAAAAAAGAGACAGACGATTGGAGAGATGGCTCAGTTGGCCAAGTGCTTGCCAAGCAGGTGTGAGGACCGGAGTTCAGCAGCCCTGTTTAAAAAAACAAAAACAGACAAACAGCAGCGGCTGCAACAACAAAAGCCCCAGCGGTCTTAGCACTACATGGACGGTGTGTGTGTGTGTGTGTGTGTGTGTGTGTGTGTGTGTGTGTGTGTGCGTGTACAGGCAGGAGGATTCCTAGGGCTCGATGGCCAGCCAGTCAAGCAGAATCATCGAGCTCAACAAAGATGGTGGACAGCAAGGTCCAAAAACAGTCTACATAGATTCTGACCACCACATGCTTGTGCCTCCTCATGGCCATGCGCTCACACAAACACACACACACACACACAGAAAGGAAATGAGGAAAGAAAAAAATCAAGTCAAGAGACCAAAAAGCACGGACCGTGCTGGGCAAACGCCTAGAATAGAAGGTCCCCAGGTTACATCTGTAACCTGCATAGGTGCAATTAGACTTGTTACCATCCATGTGTCCCCATCCTGTGCACAGACTGTACCATTTAATCTCTACAATAACCCCTTGACATAGTCTGATGAGCTGAGTTGTGTCTGTTACACTGTCCCTATGTTGGCATCCTAACTTCAGCATTTCAACTGCATTTGGAGACAGAGGGCTTGAAGAGACCAGGAAAAGTGAGCTGTACTGTGTGGACACCTGATGACTGATGTCCTTACGAGAAGTTAGGACACACACAGTACTTAGACCAGTGATTTTTAATCTTCCCAATGTTGTGATCCTTTAATACAGTTCCTCATGTTGTGATCCCCAACCATAAAATTGTTTTTATTGCTACTTCAGAACTGTAATTTCACTACTATTATGAATCATATTGTAAATAACCGTTTTCCAATGGCCTTAGGCAACCCCTGGAAGATTTGATGTCCTTGAAGGGGTCATGACCCACAGGTTGAGAACCATTGACTTAGCCGGAGACAAGCACATGAGGACATAATAAGGAGGCAGCCATCAATAGACTAAGCAAGCAGAGAGCTTCAGGACAAAACAATCACCTGCAAGAAAGTTGATTTCTGCTTAAGATATACAGTCCAGCTGGATGTGGTGGCACATTCCTTTAATCCTAGTACTCAGGAGGCAGAGGCAGGTAGATGTTCCGTGAGGTTTTGTTTGTTTGTTTGATTGGTTGGTTGATTTTTTGAGACAAGGTTTCTCTGTGTAACAGCCATGGCTGTCTTGGAACTCATTCTATAGACCAAGCTGGTCTTGAACTCACAGAGATCCAC